CAACGCAGGGAACCCGAGGCTTGGCGGAAAGTTCTCAGAATCGAAAAGCCGCTTTGGGAAACTCGGCCCGGGCCCAGACTGCCTGGGTGGGTGGCTCAGCTGAGCCAGGTCTTCCCCTCCCTCCCCTCCCTCCATCCCTCCCCTCCCCTCTCCCTGCCTCTCTCCCCTTTTTCCTCGAGGGCCAGGTAGTGACGTTTGACTGTCTCTTAGCAACTGCCTGCACAGCTCTGAGCAACAGGAGAACTGGCTGTGGACCCCACGAGGTGGGAGAGCAGAGAAGGGCCGGAGAGCACAGCACCCCTGGGACTCAGGGTCGGGCAGGAGAGGAGAGGAGCTGAGAGGAGGGCACTGGGCAGGGAGACACACGGGGCCGCAGGAGGGACTTGGAGGAGCGGGAGGCGCGCACAGAGGAAGAGGGCACCAAAGGCAGCGCAAGGGTGGGCAGCAGAACGGTGGACACCTCCTGCTCCCCCGGGGGGCTCTCCATCCACCCCAACACGCTGTTCCCGGGTCTGGGTGGGTCTCGGTCTCCGGTGCCAGGGGACTGGCTGAAGGCACCCGAGGAAGCAGATTTTGTCTCTGTCCCTAGCCCCTGCCCCTGCACTCTCTGGAGCCGGAGCGCTGGGTGAGGTCGATCAATCTCCATGGCTTCTGGGGGATGCAGAGGGCCCAGGGCCTGTGTCAAGAGCGGGCCCCCAGGCTCTGCAGACCCCGAGTCTGTCTCTAGGGTGCTGGGAGCTTTGCCTTGGGGTCCTTTTCCTTTGCGCAGGTAGCAGGGCTTCTTTCTCTTGTCCTGATCCCCCGAGGCAAGGCCCCTGTCCCCAGGGACATGGCCGGAGAGCAAAGCCTTCTCAGTACCCGCCTTCTGGTGGACCCCTGAACACCTCTATTGCTGGCTTCCCTTTCGCAGAACTGGCATGGCTGTTTGGTCCAAAAGCTGGTTCATTTCCTTTTAAAAAAAATAAATAGTTTTTCAACTTTCACCGGATGCTGGGTGTTGGTGGGGTGGTGGGTTTATACCTGTGAGGAAGACGGGTAAGGAAAGTTGTTCTGCAGCGGACGCTGGCTCTGTGTTTGCAGTCAGTTAACCTGGGACCTCTTGGTGCTGTCACCGTAGGCCTCTGGGGGAAACAAAACGATGTGATAGTAAGCAAGCGTACACTACACAGATTCTGGACACTGATCAAGTCCTCAGGATGGTTGGCGGTGTTCTCCCTTTTCCTTTTCCTATGTGGTGGCCGGGAGCCTGTTTTCCTTCTGTGTTTTGTATTGTCAGCATCTGAAGGTGCATGGGGTCTAGTTCATATCAGAGCGACTGAGGGGCCTGGATTTGCACCCCCACTTTTTTTCTTGGTACCAGGATTGAACTCGGGTCCTTGTGCTTGCAAGGCAGGCAGCAGAACCACTGCGCTAAATCCCTGACCCCCTCCTCCCCTTCTGAAAGAAACCAGTGATTTCTCAATCTCATTAATGATTTTAGAGATAAACTCTTAATCTGAAGTCAGAAAATTCATGAACACATTGCCATATAAAATCCAAAGTTAGCATCGTGCTTTCTTAGCCAAAAAATGGCAGAGAAAATATACTTATCTTGGTGGAAATAACTGTGAAAGATAATGATGAAAGTCTAAGGTAGGGTTTCCGCAAAATTCTGTACTGAATATTGGCTACAGAATGGAAGAGAGCTTTTTCAGAGTATGAAGTTTATATTTACAATTGGAACCAATAACATGGCTAAAGGAAATATTAGTGACGATTTCCGTAAGAAAGCTGCTCTAGGCAAGACTGGCCCATTGTCGTTTGAAACTTCAGTTTTCCTTCTGTGAAATAGGAATAACAATAGTGAAACCCAGAGTGGTTATTTCGGATCTGTGAGTTGTTATTAATAAAGCACTATGCACAGCAGACACCACGACAGACAGGTTTGGCAAATGAGCAGAGAAACAGCAGAGTACTGAATTGCTGACATAGTTATGCAGAAAGGAAAACAAATAAATTGCACCAAAGTGGGAAACGAGGAAAGGGAAACGTCATATTCTCTGACGAGCTGAAGGTGTTCGGCTGCAAGATAGGATGCAAACTCTCCAGGAGACCCCAAGTGAAGAACATTGTCCTTGTGGGTAACATCTTCTGGAAAAATGGAGGTGCGATGAGGTAGAAATGTTTTAAATGGCTTTGTACTTGTACTCACTCTAGGACTCAAAAGGGACCCCGTCCGTCTCAGACTAGTGGTTCATGGTACACCATGTGCCGTGAGAAAAATGTCTGCTCTCGAGTAGGTTTGATAAACAATGCATTAGACAAAGTGAAACAATTTTTTAATTGGCAGCTTTCTCAGAGGTACAAGTGGTCATGATAAATCTTTAAGCGCAAGTATTAGGGGATAAAGAATATATAATAACCAGCATTTCTTACACTTATTTTGGACCCCTACTTCTACCCTTCCTTCTTCCCCCCTTTTTTTTTGCCCTCCCCATTTTCCTCCTCCTCGACCTTGTTTTTCATCAGAACTACTAACATTGGAAACGCGTTTTAATGGAACATGGTTTGGGAAATATCGAACTAAAATTTATTAAAGACCATTCCTTGCTCAGATGTCTTTATTTTAGTATGAGTAGTTGTCATAATAGGGCTTTTTTTTTCCCTCTTGTACAAAGAAATGTAGCTTGTCTCACTTTATAGGAGTTTTTATATACACAGCACTAAATCTATGTGGAGAAGCTTAGTGTGTGGTAGCTGCTTCAAGAGTGACTTTCTCCTGCACAGTGGTCTTGCAGGAGCTGTGGTTGAATTCTGAACCCCAGCAAAATGATATATGAAGCCATATCATGGCCTCTCAGGGTAAAATATGCAAACTGTGGCCACTGAGGGTTTACTCTACTGGGAGAATTCACAGAAACCCATCAAAGACTTGTAGAAAATGAAATGAGTTGAAAAAATAATTTCCATTGTTATGGTTCCCTCGATCCAAGGTCCATTAATTATAACAAGGACAGAAAAACCCTTGAGCACACGAGAAATTAATCTAATCCACCCCATAAGAAATGTACTCAGGGAAAATTGTGACTTCAGTGGAACGAAGACCGAGGAGGAAATGGGGGAGCGAATCCATCTTATTGCTGGGAAGATTTAAAAACAGGAAAGATGGTGCTGCATGATCACAGCTTATCGAAGCCTTTAGCAGTCTCGTGAGGTGGCAGAGGAGACATCTGGAGAAGAAAACAAGCAGGAGGCAGCCACCTCGAGGTGATGAGGCGGTCGTGCTAATGAGCGCGGTGATGGGAGATGGGGGAAGATGGCGGGCAGAGTCGCTGGCCTACAGGAGACATGGGAGGGACGGGGCAGCTCCTGCCAACTCTGTGACAGTAAAAGGCCACAGGGTTTTACTGAGAGAGAGAGAGAGAGAGAAAAATGATAGAAAGAAATATGAGAGAAAGGAAAGAAAATCAATGGAAAAGTAGATTTTAGACATAAATGTGTGAAATACAGCAAAATATGTTGAGAGGCTGCAAACATAGTTCTTCTAAGTTGATATATGTAAGTTGCCCAGATGTAAATGTAGGAAAGATAACGCAGTGCTCCCTTGGGACAGGAGAGTGACGGGCCCCCGAGGCACCCACATTCCAAAGCTCAGAACCAGCGAAAGTGTTACATGGCGCAAGGCCCACAGTGTGGGTTCAGCCAGGATCCCGAGGTGACAGACTGTCCAGGTGGCTTTAGACAGAGAAGGCAGGGGGAGGGGCCAGAGAAGGAGGAGGAAAGACGTAAGCCGAGGGTGAAGATGTTTTGCTGCTGGCTTTGGAGACCAAGAGACGTGTTGCCAGTGGACGCAGGAAGTCTCTAGGAGCGGCACCAAATAAACAAGTCCTCCCTCAGGGCCTCCAGAAGGGATGTAGCCCAGGTAGCCTGTTCCAGGCTTCTGACCTCCAGAACCATGAGATATAATACAACTGATCGCTTAAAGCCAACCAGTTCGGGATACTTTCTTACAGCAGCGATAGGGAACAAGTACAGCCCTTGAAATCACCACCTCCTGGCTGGGTCTGGGTAGTAAGTCCTGTGATTAGAGTCCCGCTCAGTGGATGGCAAGTTAATCAAGAGCGAGATGACCCAGGTGGGCCTTATCTCACCAGGGGAAGCCTGGTCCTTCTGGATGAGCATGGACTCCAGGACGTTCTCCACTGGAAGTGGAAGGGGACACTTGGGAAGGACTTGAAAGTGGCTTCTAATTGCAGAGGTTGATTCCTGGCTACCAGTCAGCAAGGGAGCGGGAGCCTCAGTCCTACAACCGCAGGGTCCT